GAGTCTGATCTTAGCGGTTCAGAGGCCAACCTCCGAGACATCCCCGACGACATCCTTCGCCATCTGCTCCCTAGCTCAGTCATAGCCATCTCCAGCCGTTCATGAGCATTTGTTATGCGTCAGGGGAGCCCTGGTGGCGTAGTGGTTACGCCTTGGGTTCCTAACGACCAAGGTCAGCAGTTCGAAACCTCCAGCCGCTCTGCAGAAGAAGGAGGAGGCTTTTTCACTCCTGTAAAGAGTTACATCCTGAAACTCACAGGGGGCAGTTCTACCTTGACCTTTAGGGTCGCTGAGTCGGCACCAACTTAATGGCAGTGAGTTTGGTGAGGTGCCGGCTGGCACTACAAGAGCCCTTGTGGCGTAATGTGTCACAAGGTCAGCAGTTCAAATCCACCAGCTTCTCTGAGGGAGAAAGATGAGGATTTCTGGAGTCTTGGAAACCCATAGAGACAGTTCCACCCTGCCCTGTAGGGTCAGTGGGAGTCAGAATTGTGCCTTATGTGGTACCACCCACACACTTACCTTGTCAAGGAGGTTACCTGAGTTTTGCAAATGAGGAAACTGAGGCTCAGTGGCGCTAAATCCCTACAAAAATGTCATGAGGGAAGTGTTCTTGTCCAATATGGCTGCCACACGTGGTTCCTGGGTCCTCAAAACAGGGCTCTTCAGACTGAGGAAACTTTGTGGATGTTTACATGTAAATAGTTGTATGTGGCCAGTGGCTACCAGCCGGTGAGCGTCTGAGTGGTTTTCAGTAACTGGCAGAAGCTGAGAGCCAAACTCTCCATCCTGCTTTCCCTGGTGTGTCCAGATGACAGTCCCCCCTGCCCCCCCCCCACACCTCACCTGCACCTCCTCACCATTCCCTCTCATCTCTCTCCTAGCTGGGCCCCCCAACCTCAATCACCCCAAGCCAAACACACTGCCATCGCGCATGGTGGCCCTGCAGGACAGGGTAGACTGCCCCTTGAGTTTCTGAGACTCTAACTCTCGACGTGAGTGGAAAGCCCCATCTTTCTCCCAGGGAGCTGCTGCTGGTCACCTTGCCGCTCAATGCGTCAGGTCACTACTATACCACCAGGACTACCCCCCACCCAGCCCCCTACTGTCGTCCCAAATGGCTCCTTTGTAAAATGTCCATTGGATCCGATCACCCCTTTGCCATTCCAGTGGTTTCCTCCTTGCACCCCAACAAAACCCCAAGCTCTTGCCCTGGTCTCTGAGGTCTCATGTGGTCTGGCCCACAGCGCCTCGTCTCTCTATTGCTAAAGCCACAACCACCACTGCCATGGTCATTGTCATATTGTTGTTCCACCTGTCTGCAGTGCTCGGTCCCTGTGGCTCTTACCCACTCATGTGTCACCTCCCTGAGGGACCAATCTGAAGGAGCCCCTATACTGGAGCCTTCTCCCTGCCCGCCCCATCAAAATCCAGAAAAAACGCAGTCAATGTGTAGCTTCTGAGCCATAGCACCCTGACAGGACCGAAGAAAACTGCCCCTATGGATTTCTGAAGATTGTAACTCGTTTGTTTGAAATGAACTTGGATGTCACTAAAGTATCCAAGTCCACTTCAGTTTTACTCTGAGGCCATAACTCCTGACCGGAGCAGAAAGCTTCATTTTTCTCCAGTGGAGTAGGTGGTGCTTTAGAACTGCTGACCTTGTGGTTATGGTTAGCAGTCGAGTGCTTAACGCCCTATGCCACCAGCAGTGCCGTTGGGGGACATTTAATCCAAAAATCTCACTGCCATCGAGCTGATTCCCACTCATCACGACCCTATAGGACAGGGTCGGACTACCCCGTGTGGTTTTCCAAGACGGTAACTCTTTACGGGAGTAGAAAGCCTCATCTTTCTCCTGTAGGGCAGCTAGTGGTGTCAAACTGCTGACCCTGTGATTAGCAGCCCAACGTGTAACCCGCTCTGCCGCCAGGGCTCTGTCTAGGTCTTTCCTCGACACCTAAGGGGAGATTTTCATCTAGTTTCCGCTTATTTTTCTCGATCCAGAATGGATG